CTTAAAAAAGGTATTTTTATATACATATAGAATATGAAACTTCACCATGTTTTCACTAACATTTAGTAAACTCCTTGTCAAACAATACAACTGTTTCGATTCGTTTAATAAAATATCTAAACATATAAAACAAATTCAATATTAATAACAGTATATAAATTAATTTTAAAACTAAATTATAAACTTACTACAAATTTCTATCTTTGTAAATTAACAACAATTAATATATATTTTTTTCTTTTTTTGTAAATATTTGATTAGTCGTTACGATTTCAATTTATAATTAGTAACTTTGTTTATCAACCGTGGTTTCCACGGGTTGAAATCTAGTAATTAATAAAATCATGATTTAATATCTATCTAAGAAAACGTCTTTTTTCCTTTCATTTTTAGCAATCAAATATCAAGATAATGAAAAATTAGTCGGTTTACCTCATTGATTTTTTTAAAAAAACTTCTTCATAAATAATGATTCATACATTTCATTTATAAATGAATAAATTGTAAATTATAAATGAATTAACTCAGTTGTATTTATGAATACACTTGTAATCGTAAATAAATAAAACCTGAAATAAAGATTATAAAATCAACTAAAACGGTAATCGTATATAAACAAATAAAACACATTTCTATTCATATAAGAATATAATTATAGTAGTAAATGAATAAGTTACAATATATATTTTGTTTGACACAGAAACTAGTACTACAATGACAATCATAAATGAATAAAACACATTTGCACTCCTTCGGATAGAGGTATTGGTGTCGGTGTTTCATTTGGTAAATCTCCCACCTCCCACTGTATGCATGTTTATTCATTCTATCTGCGAAAATGTTAAAGAAACAATTATGTATAATCGTCCAAAGTAAATGCTTAACTCATTAATCAAACATAATTTTGATCATAAATGAATAAAACAAAGTTGTAATCATTAACAATAAATAAAACTATATCAAAGAGAATAAATCGTTTTTTTGTAGTTTTTTTTTTCAAGTTTCTCCAATATTTTCATAATTCATAGTAAATACTTATGTATGGGACTAAACTGAGAATCATTTATTTATATCATCAACTTCATTTGCTCGATACCTTTATTAACAGTTTAGTACTTTTCTAAGCTTTTCAATTTCCTATCATATAAAATATAATATTTTCTAGAAATTTATTTAATATTATTTATTCATATACGAATAGAGTTTTATTTATATGTGAATAATATATAAGTTGAAAAAAAAAATCAAAAAATATTAAGGGTTCCTTAGAAAACATAAGTTTTATATTCAAAAGGTAAATGGTAAACAAATGAGACCTTTTAATTAGAAAAAGTATAGTATTTTACATCAAACGAGAAACAAACGGACATATAATCATAGATGATCATGAATTGTAAACTGAAACATACCTTGGTCTTAGGCTTCAACATCGAATTGAAAATTAAGTCTTGATAACCCATTCTTTTTGGTAAAGATGATGTATTTGTTGAAATACAGCCAGACTCCTCCGTTTCCAACCTCATCCACTTCCACGACCGCTTTCCTACCCACCTACAACCTTCCTTCGATTCAACCATCCATCTCCGCCGCCCAATCGCCGAACTCATCCTTTCTCTCTTAAGCACCACCCGAAGAGTTGCAGTGGTCCATGACTTTCTGATGTCGTATGTCGTTCAAGACGTGAAAACAATACCAAATGCCGAGTCTAACATCTTTAGACCCATCTCCGCTTTTGACTTCTTCTGGAGAACCTGTGAAAGAATGAACAGACCTTTCCCAGTGGACCCGAAAATGCTAAAACGACTCCCGTCCAACGATGGATGCTTCTCGTTGTAGTTTAAGTTGCTGAAGACGTTGTGATGGTTGTTGGTAAGATGGAGAGGCAGAGAAGACGAAAATGGTATTTTAGAGAAGATGGCGGCTGGTATGAAGGTTATACTAGGGTTTGATGTGTGAAAGTACAAAGAGGATAATAAAACACGAGAGAGAGAGAGAGCTAACTTTAAGGAACTAATTAAAATGAATTTACTTGCATGCCCTTTATGTTGTTATCATATTTACATTTTGATATCCGCAGTTTTAAATTTGACATAAATGGCCTCTTTGATCTTAGCCCTACATCTATTAATTTGAATGGTTCAGAGATGTTCTTGCATTCTCAACATTTTAGGTGTTCTCATTTGATTCTACTCATATATATATATATATATATATATATATATATATATATATATATATATAGAGAGAGAGAGAGAGAAAGAGAGAACAATAAATAAAAAACATTAAAGAATATATAAGAATAAAATTTCAAAAAAAATATATAAATTATAAAAAATATAAATAAAACAAATTATAAGCGGGAAAATATAAAAAAAATTAATTAGTTATATATATATATATATATATATATATATATAAAGATAAAGATAAAAGAAAAATATAAATATAAAAGTAAGGGTAAAATAGTCTTTTTAAATGAAATAAGGATGTGTAGTGCAATTGCTTTAAACAACAGGGATGCATCTTGTCGAATTTTCGAAGATTGGACTAAAAGTGTGAATCTGACCAAACCACAAGGACCAAAATTGTACTTTTCCTTCTCTCTCTAT